ATAAAAGAATTTGAGGACAAAGGACAGCTAGAAACTGGGGAAAAAGACAACAAAGCAGGCTGAAGATTGTTTAGTAAATAAAATACAAATTAACATTGTTAATGTGAAAATGAGAATATATTAGAGGGCAGAAGAGATAGGGGGTTGTTGGTGAGCTAGTGTGCACATAAACATTTCCTGATGCACAGAGAGAGAATTGACCCTTGAAGACACTTAATTCAAGTTAGGGAGAAAAAATAAAGAGGAAAATACCTGTCCTTTATCCAACTAAGTTTAATTTAGGAATAAGTGAAACCTATTATAAACCACTTGGTTTTATGTATTTTTATGCCTCCTCGTGTGCCTTTGTCAAAAGCACGACGAAGACAATAAGTGTTCTTTGGCTTACAGTAAGCCATCATTAAAAGCACCAGATGTAAATTTTGTAGTGACAATATGAGAAACTGCTGCAGCAACAGAAGAAAATTATCTGACCCCTGTTTCTTCATGTCATTTTTATTTATACAAGTTAGTTGAAACTAACTGCATATGTCTTATCTCCTTTTGTGTCCAGAATTAGCAGGGAAGAAAAGCCAGGGATAACTGCATCACTCTGCCCTCTGGGAAAATGTTTTTATCAAGTTTCCAGATAATAAAGTTACTTTTATTAACCAAAATCTTGAGGTCTTTTTAGCGATGTGGAAGTTTATAAATTTTAAATAATACTCATGCTGCATTCATCCATTTCTAAGGTTAATCCACTAATCTATATTTTATACTCTTTTTAAAAGAACAGAATATTTTGCATGAACTACTTGTATTTAAAAGCATATAAAAGTAATAGACTAGAATAAAATAAGTATCTCTGTAATCAAAGTATGTTTCATTTCACAGCTTTTAAGTATCTAACAGATTAGTATTATTCCACTTGTAAAAATACTTGAATTGGCTATCTCTCTTATCCTTTGACTAGTGTTTTTATAACTGTCCAAAACTAGTTTTAACTTAGAGTTGCCTTAGATTTCTGATACACCATAAAGTTTCCTAAGATAGGGAGGAAATGTGACTCTTTTTAGAGGAGTGTGTCTTTTAATCAAGACTTGACATCCACCTGGGCTAAGAAAACTGACTGTTTGTTCCCTGGGGAAATGCTTTGAGAAGGTAACTGGTTTTCATGTAGAGTACCCTCCTAAGTTAGGTTTTTTTGGTTTAGTGTACCCCGAGGCAAAACGTTTCAGGATATTTTAGAAGATCCTGCCAATCTAATTAGTCTTACAGGAATAATGCTAAAATTCATTCTCTGTTTCCCCCTTCATAAACTATATGGTGCTTCATCCCTACACTGTCAGTGGCAGCTGTTAACTGCATCTCTAAGGGGGACAAAAACAGGCTTAGTGCTGTTCCAAGGAGTAATGGGAACTGGTCTCTTGTTCCACCAGAGGTGGGGCAGGTGGGATCGCCCTCTGAGTGGAAAAACTCTTCCAGGACTGGGGATTGTTTATGAAGAATGGGTGAATATAGTCTAGAGCAGCAAATGTTTGCATCCTGTCACAGCAGCTAAGGCCATGATTCAGTGATTGACTTCAAATTCTCTCAAGGCAAGACCAAGGAATGGGGGTTTGCAGTCATTGGGTCTCCATGTAGAGTGGTCCCAGCAGGCTTTCTGTTCCTGAGGAGGGGACTCAGTACCTGAACTCCAGCTTAGAAGATGGACTTGTCAGTCCTGCCAGGGAGAGAAGGCACTGGCATTAGTGTTGCTGTGGTGCTTGGTGTGGTTGGCATTACCTTGGGGTGCTCCTTAGTTAGTGTCTGTTATTCTGCAGACTCTCAGGAGCTTGGGGTTTTTGCCTCAGAGAGAGGAAATACTGCTGCAGCTGTAAAAAGCCATTTGGAACTGCACTAGTAAAGCACTGTAAGCTTTCTATCTTGCAGATATATGTTACTTTTATATACCTCTTGTTTTTATTTAATTCCTCTGAAGTGCTTGTGTTGATGAATAATTAGAACCAGGATTGGTATGCCTTCCTTTTGAATAAGCTCTTATTTTGTTTAGATTTTTTTCTCCTAAAATCCATTCATATTCCAAGGTACTGAAAGGCAAAGTATTTTAATGGTGTTTTTGCAGAATATTTTCCTGAATGGATGAGGAAACAGTCATTCCAGTTAGCACTATGTAAAAAAGTGAAGGCAGTGCAGTTAGCTTAATTTTCCATTTTTATTTGTCATAGATGTAAATAATTCAAACATATAAGCTTGGAAATAAGTTAACAGTTTGAAACTGGGACTGCATGAGTCTTATAGGATAATATTAGTATTTCATGTGTGTTTCAATTTGACATTCTTAAGAAAAAGGTTGATTTTCCTGAAGTATGAACCATTTAATAGTTAATGCTGTTTTTCACTGGGCTCCTGTGATAAACTAGAATGTTCATGTATTTCATGTGTATGCTTATGTAATTAAGCATCCACTAATTTATTTCTCTTTGGAAAATACTTCTCCAAATCAGCACTCCATGTATTAAGATTTAAGATTATATCATCTGTTTGTTTAAGGTAAGCATTAGGACAGGTATTATTATTTTATAATAGATTCTTAATCCCTTGTCTGTGAAGTGTTGATGTTTTCATTAGAGTTAAAATATGTTGCATGTGTACAGAAAGCCTGAAATCTCAATATGTGGTTTTATCAATTTTAATTATTTGAATCATTAGAACAGCTAATTTTTTGCTTAAGGATACACCAATTCACCATTGAATCTGTTTTTTAAGGTTTTTTCCAGTTTAATGTCTGAATCCAAATTCATAAAGAGTTGGAAAAATGAGATGTCTGAGCTATAGGATTCACAGGGATTTTATATGAAGCCTATTTAATCAGGATAACACTGTTATTAATATTCATAAAGTCAGCTGGAACACAAATGACAGACTATGGAGCCTAAAATTTTTTACTTGTGAATTTATTAAAAGCAGCTTAAAAAATTAATGGAATTTAAGTAAAGTTGACGAAAATGAAAATCTTATGTTAGCAGAAAAAATCTATATTAGAACTTTGTCTAAGACCATCTTGCATTGATATCTTTGACAGATTTCATTGGTACTTAAAGAAGAAAGATGCATGAATGGTCATTTAAAAGGATTTAAACACATTGGCACATTAATTTTTACATGAATAATAAGTAGTTTCCAAAAGCAATTAACTTACAGTGTACAAGATTTGAATAGAAAAATAGGACTGTGACATCAAAGGGCAAAGCAAATGTGCAGTACATTTTAAACTTTTAATAATACGACTTCTTAAAATAATTTTTTTCTTTTCCACAGTAAGTAAAGTAGCACCAAAGGAATATGTGTACAGCTTGGGTTTGTTTTGAAATACACCAAGATCTGGAAAAAAAATATTTTTATGCCTAAGTGCTGTTGGTAAAGAACAATTTTAAGGCTTTTACGTTGATCAAGTGCTTCTAAATCAGCTTTCTCTGTGTGGAAAACAGATATATACTGATCACAGTGTGTGATTTTTTTTTTCCCATGCTGCTATATGCAGCATTTGGAAGCATTTCTTATTTCTGTAGATGGCAAAATAGTTAGGTCTGAGAGTTCTTTCATTATTGTGCCTATCTATTAATTTTATGTGACTGTTGCATTTTATATTCAACAGATAGTAACATTTTCTTTTTTATTTTGACTTTCTTTCATGGTGTCCTTGTAGCTTTACTCTAGCACAAGGTAGATAAAAAATAGTGAATAAGGAAATTAGATTTAAAATTACCTCTAGCGTTTGGGTTATGGTTTCATTTTATATTTTCAGTTTTGTCTTGGTCTGCTAGTATACTGTATTTTAATCTCCAGCTTTAATTTCCTCTCATTATTACACATATTGATTATTAGCAGATTGTTTTCAAATGAAAGGAAGGGTTTATAGTAATTGTATTCAATTTTTCTGATGATTCCTTGTGTGAAACCTTAATGGCCACTTCTGATCATTTTTTGAAATGCTGACTTTTAACACTCACTGAATAATGATGGTTCAATAAGTTTTGGTTTTAAAAATACCTTATGTTCAACATACCTTCTGGAAAGGTACATCTTGAAGGACAAGTAAGCGTTGTGCACAAGTCAGCTCCCTATTGCAGCGTTTGTGTTCAGAGCAACCAGTTTAAATAGTTAGTGTCTGGAATATTTTGTTTTTCTGTGTCCTAACTTTTGTTTTTAAATTATGGGGAAATTAATTGGCACAACCTAGGAAGCCCTAAAAATCTTTCCATTTTACTTTGATCCATAGGTGACCTTAATCTGATATCAACCATTTTTTTTTTAATTTTCTCTATGTTTAAACCAGAAAATTCTTATTAGTTAACAGAACCTATTTCACCAATGAAGACAAGGTCTGTAAAATGAGCCTCTTGACTTCAGTGATAAATTTTTCCTGTGCCATAGTCTATTATTTCCGGGAGAGGGCAGCATTTTCCTATATCAGGTACCGAAAGGCACATGCCCTGCTTAGACTGTCAATGTTTCTTGTAATTACTCCCAGTATATTTGTTGCTTGCTTATGAATTAACTTGCATTTATGGAACTAAATCATTCCAATCATTTAATTACACCTGAGGAGCTGAACTATAATTGCTTGCTTCCAGCTAGGATCTGATATGGCTTGAGCAGTATTAATTTGGTGTTTACTTTTCTGAGTGCTAAAAGCATTAAAATGATTGTGCAATGGGATTACATTTTACTAATTGCTGGCATTCATTAGCTGGGTAAATGGCGAGGAAGAATGACTGTATATTGTGGAGGGATAAAATTATGGTTTTAAATAGTATATTACTAGACACATTAAGGCCCTAAGACATGTTTTAAAATACTCCAGAGGTTATTAAATACCATATTTTCTTCATGTCTTGCTATATGAATATCTTATTAAAATACTGCAATTATTATGAACCTTTTTGTGCAATATGTAGGGAAATGGCTTCATTGACAGAAACCTATTTCTTGATATTAATAACCCTCTATATTTTCAGCTAATCCAAAAGTAAATGAGGAACTTAGGAAAAGATTGCCAACTTCAAATCAACACAGTTACACAGAATTGAAGAAGAAGCATACAGCTTCATTTGAGGGATTCTTTTAAGGGACTCAGTGTTCTGCGATATGAGGTGAACTTTTTATTTTTTGTTAAGACCTAAGTACATCAAATCCTTTACATTTTTTTATCATACATATTTATAGTCAACAACAAATATGAGCTAAATATGTATTTCTTGAATGTTTGGTGTACATGTTGGTGTTGAATTTTTAGTGTTTGTATGATTAATTTTTTAGCAATTTTAAATATAAAAATGAAATAATCTGCTTGTTTTGGTGTTGTATGGCAAAATAATTTCTCCTGCTTCTTTATTATTTAGGATATGTGTCTGGTTACAATTTTCTTGAATTGTAAAATATGTACTTAATTTTTTAATTTAATCTCTTACATTTTCAGCACAAGGACAACTGTCTGTTTTCATAATCTGGTCACTGTATCTTCAAGGCACATATATCTTTTTAATAAATGTAAAAAAAAATTAGGAGGGAAAACATACGAAATAAGCATAATGTATAGTTAAGGATAAAAATTGTCCTATGTGCAATATTTTTTAAAAAGGTGCTTGAGTAAGTAATATAATTTGTGGTCAGCTTACTATGTTACCAAGATTACAAACTTCCTTGCGATACAGAGTATAATTGAATTTTCAACACATAAGAGAGCATATATTTTAATACCCAAAATGATGCCTGGTAGATATAACATTTTACTGTAAGCCTCATTGAGGGTTACTTCTTGAAGACCTTTGATTATATTAAATATTGCAACTGTGTAATTAACTATAGTCTGAAGCAATATGCATGCAAATATTGCGATGCATTATTTAGCTGTTCAGAAAGAACTTCAAATTCAGAGTTGGAGTGGTCATAGACCACTTTACCTGCATTTTATCTAGGAAATTAAAGGAAGAATGCTGTAAAGTGAAGCATGCGCTACTATCTGTAATAACTGCCAAAATCAGCAGTCTTGTTGTCTGTAGCAGGACTGCTTGGTGTGATTTGGGCTGTGCTCAGTAATGTGTACTTCCAAGACCAGACTCTAGAAGGAAAAACCAAACTAATAAATATTTCAACAAAGACATCACATGCAACAGAAAGCTGAACCAAACAAATATAAAAATTAGATGAGTGAAGAAAAAATATTTTACTGAGAAATATAATTTTCACTGGCTGTTAAAGTATGCATACTTCATTATGCTGCTATAAATATTTAAAATAATTTGTTTTGTAAATTTTTTTGTCAAATGAAGGCAAAGTATAGATGTATTATATTGTTTCAAGTTTATTTATCTACAGTTTGTTTTATTTTAGCTCTGAAACCTTCAAGCAAAAACTGGACTCAGTGCCAGATCAAACAAGTTCAGAGGAACAAATGGAGAACTGGTCAAAAGGTAGGGACTTTAAAGATATTAATAAGGAACCTTAGGTGTTATACCAGTGCTAGGCAGTGACTGGAGTGTGTTTGTTCTTGCTGATATATGACTGACTTTGGAAGAAAAGAAAAAAAAGCCACAACCACATACTGGTCCTTAAAAGAACTTTGAGTAACAGGAGAGCAGCCACATGAATATAAAGCTTCACCTTTATTTTCTGGATTTTTGAAAATATTTTTTATAACTTTCAGAAGACTTGTTTAAATTCTTAGTCTGTACATTGTGCTTTACTTTCCAATCTTTTTTTTTTTTTTTAATTAGCAATAAATCTGAAAATCTGTCTTAAAGTCATTTTCTTGGCTATTCACACCTGGCTTGGGTATGATTAAGCCATCTTTTAATATTAATGAGTTTCTCATTAGTAGCTCAACTGAATGTAGACAGTAAGGAAAGGCTTGGAGATAAAGGTGACTTGGTTAACTTGGAGCTTCCCCAGTTGATGGGGTTTTCATCTTCATCAGGATGCAAGTATCTTTTTGTATTTTTACTTGGTTGACCAGACATAATTGTTCTCAGATACATTCCTCCACGTTTAATGACAGAAACCTAAGGGGAAAAAACCCCACTGAATTTGAGAGTACATTACATGACTGGCTTACTGACTTTGTAGAAGAGAATTTTCAGAAGTAGCTTATGACTAGATTGTGACCTGTAGAAGGAAGGGAAAGACATAAAAAGAGATCCTCACTTTAGGGTGGATTTTTGCTAGTAAGTGACTATGTGTAGGTTAAAAAATCCAAAATTGCATAGGTGTGTCAACATCAAAATTTCCCTCTGTATCAGAGCCTCATAGCTTCTTGTACATTTCCTTTTTTTGAGTTTTATACTATATATTCTCTCTCAAAAGATTAAAGATTATAAATGTCAAGTTTCTCATGGAGAGTCTGTTTAGAAGAAAGAAGAAATGCTTCATTTTGTAGGCAATACTTTTCTTTCGTATGTAAATTAATTTCCACCTGTATTATTCTGTAAAATAAACTAATTATCAACCCCTTTTAATTTATGGAATTTTGAACTGTTACTGAGTGAAGTTCAAAAGTTTTTGAATCATATACTCTGTAAACAACAATATTCATGGTGGTGTAAGTTAGTGGAGAATTGTATTCTGACAATTTAAACGTGTAATGGCTTAATCAGGTTTAGTATTTTCAGACCTTTAGGGGTCAGCATACCCTAAGAATGGTTCAAAAGGTTAAGTTTTCCAAAGCAGGCAAATGAAACTGATTCTCTGTGAAATAGTTTCTGTCTTAATTGCAAGAAATTATGTTCTGCTACTGCTCAGATATATTTTTGAAACTGAGTAGTTACTGAGTTTCATGTGTATTGTCTTTCTGATGCATTAAGTCAATATTTTGTGCTGTTTAGACAGCTACTTCTTCCAAGCTAAAACTTCATGTATCCAACAGAAGTTGTTATATAAATAAAAGTAAAATTCATACACTTTTTTAGCATAATCATTAATAAGTCATGTAATTCTTTGTGCTTTTGCTCCTGGGAAGGTTAGAAAAAGGGATTATGGGTGAATCTGTCATCATACTGGTGGGGATGAGAAAGTCTTTTTTACTTAGAATTTAATTTGGTATTAACAGCTAAATTGCATTCACTTAAAATAAAGATAATAGGTCAATTTCAGCAACATAATCTTCAATATGTGTGCTTGGTAGATATTCTAGTGCCTTTTCTCATTGTATTACTTAGCAACTTCTCATTTTCTGTGTAAATGTGTGTGCTGAGGAATGTACTATTTTGTGTCCTGCTTGCTCTGTCATCTTCATATCTTTCCTTTGTGCAGTTGGTACTGAACTGTATTTAGATCTTCCTTTCTTGTAACTTGGAAGTTTAAAAGCCGGGTTTAAAATAACCCTATAATTTTTAATAATTTAAAATTTTAATAGCATACTGAAATATTGGAGATTACATTATTTGTCAACATTTAAGGATGGTAAAGCAAATATGAGACTAAATTTTTCTGACTAGATGAAAATTCAGTCAAGCCATGAGAGTTTTAAAAAATAGAAAAAACAGATACAAAATGGTAGGTTTATGGCGATTATGTGGGATAATGTGTAACCTGTTAACCAATGTTATAAAATAAAATACTTGAAAGGAAGGTAGTGTTTAAGAGGAGTGTATCTGAAGTGTTTGAAAGGTGAGATTTTCTTTTTAACTTTCCGAGTTGTTTGGAGTATAGTATCCCTGTGAGGATTGGAGACTTTGTCAGTGTTCTGTTCTATTAGGAGGAATTAAAGAACAGTTTGTGTGCAAGGCTTGTTATTTTGTGTTTGTATCTAGTTTAAATGTACTCTTTCTCTTGTTTTTAATAGAAGGTTAATGCCTGTTTTCAATTCCCTCTAAGGATACTTGAGAGAATGTACTAACAACACTGGCAGCAGACCAGTGAGACTGTGCCACTTAGAAATGAAAAATATTCAGGATCCAAGCTAGACAGCCTAGAATAGTATTCAATTATGAAAATAAGCTTGTATTGGCAAATAGGTGCATATCTTTGCATTGCAGTGACGGTGGGTGTGGGGAAGCACATTGCATTGGGGTAAGAGTTGTTGCTTCAGTAGGGTTTCCATGCATGATGGGAACTATGCAAACATTAATACTGTGAAAACACAAGAAGGAACCTGAAACTGGGTGGTTTGTCTTCTTATATATATGTTTAGGACTTGATATGGCATTTTTTCAGAAGCATTACCAGGATTGGAAAGTGGTGAGTGTGCAAATGCTGGAGTTAAATTTGTGTCTTATTTGACTCATGTACCATGTTTAATTAGATGCAGCTGTATTTCTGTATTATACAGTCTTTAACTACTGTAATGTTTTGGCTTATGTCATATTTATGAGCATCCATGCTTTAAGGACAGGGCAGAAATTAGGAGAAGTCTTAGAATTTTAAGTGTTGTTTGGTCTGTTTTGACAACAAAATCAGAGTTTTGCTGACTCCAAAATTAAAATCATGGTATAATTTTTATTTGTAAATTCCTTAGACAAGTTAATAGATTTTACTTTTTTAATGGCAAAGTTGTTTGCTCTCTTAAAAGGTGGTTATTATGTTTTTCAAGCATAGAAATAAATATTTATATATTTCTAAGCCATTACTTGAAGCATATATTGAAATGTAAGTCAGTGAACCAAGTTCACTTCTCAGAATTTGATGGCAACTTTAGTTATGATCTACATAGGCACTTCTCATGTATCTTCAAAAGAATGCTTGCAACTTGTAAATATACTTCAAAATTGCATGTCTGGAAACTAGTTCAGAGGAGCCTAGCTTTAAAGGGCTGTGATAATGTAGATTGGAACAGAACTGCAGAATCAGCTTGTGCAGGGAAATTTGTGATAGAGGTGTTTTATCTGGTGGTGAGCTGTGGGTTTTTGGGGTCTTTTACATTCATGGTAATTGAGGAAATGTACTCACATGCAAAGGTTAAGTAAAACAAATAATCTTTTTGTGTAACTTTGACTGTCTTATGAGAAGTAGAAAACTCTTCTAATTGTATAATAGTTTTAATGTACTTTTTTGTAGAGTTGTTTTTGCAATATTAATTACAAGGGCTTTTTTGTCTGGAATTTCTATTGTGTGAGTTTGACACACACAAAGATTAATGGGTAAAGAAAGCCTCAAGAGTAATATCGCGTTGTAAATGCTCTAGTTGGGTAAAAAAGCAGCTAATGGTAAAGGTGCTGCTGCCCATTTCTTCAGAATGTACCCACTACAGCTGTAAACACTCTAAAGTAAACCTAAAGCTCCTCTTTCAAGGCTGTAACAGAAGCAAAATTAAGCATACTTGTCATAGTGAAGTCTCTTTCTTCTTTTACATGCCTCAACAGGAGATACTGTGAGCCTATTCTCCCTCTCCTACCATTTTTAGCAACAAAGTGTTGTTTACTTGGAAAAGAAAGAAGGCCTGAATATTGCAAGGGTGGTTTTTATGCAGGAAAATCTACACGATATGCAGAGAGGCAGCATCCTCTACCCCCATGTGGTTCAGCTGATCAGTGTCTTCAATGTGTGCTGTGCTTTCAGCATCAAACTCACTGTGTGCTGTCAGATCCCCTTGCAAAGTGCCAAGTGTAGTTGAAGGTTTCTCTGAATGATGTAAAAGCCTGAAAAGAGGCTGAGAGGGTGAACTTTCATGAGTAAAACCTAGGAAAAGTACCTAGTAGCTGTTGAGCAACACTAAACGTGGAAGATGTAGAAAACCTCTTCCATGGAAGAAGAAGGAATAGTGTAACGTAACATAGAAGATAAGAATAAGTTAATGATAACTGAAAAATCATCCAATACTGCTTGGTCTTTCCTGTAAACATAATCTCCATTCATGCATAAATTCTCATCTGTTCTTTTTCCATTCAATTTCTTTCCTTGTACATTTTGAGTGGTGGAATACAGCACATTTTTAGCCAGACTGCATGCAGAAAGACTCCTGTTGAGAAGCACAAGTAGATGTCCAGTACTTGCCTGACTCACTGCAGTGTTGTGAATGTGATTTTGTTGAACCCTTTATGGTACGCTCAAAGCATGTAGGGCCTTATCTGCACTGAGGGCTGCAAGCACTAAGGATGGGGAGAATGCACACCTTGAAGTATTGCACTTTGGATCTTAAGTGTGTAAAGTATGAGTGCAGCTAACTTCAGAATGTCTTGAAATGTACTTCAGAGAGAACAGCACTTACTACCACAGTAATTTTTAAGTAGTGCTTCAGAAGAGCTTTAAAAGACCTTGCACAAGTGCAAGAGGAATTTGGTTATTTTCTTCTTTAAAAACCTTCATTGCTTCTATTTTTATAACAGGTAGAATAAGGCTTAAGTTCAGAGCAACAATATTTAAAAATTATGAAAAGATTCTTCAGGGAGTGCATTGCCAACTCTTATTTGTGAGTTCAGCTGCATCTTTAGTAGAACACTACTGGAGTAAAGGTTGCTGGGGCAAGGCGTCTTATGGCTAC